TCTCATTATAATTTTATTTATAAGTTATGGGTTTGGCCATTATATCATAACGGTTAAGGAGATTTTAATATAGAGTTCTGTTGGCCATAGGATGAACAGTTTTTTTGGGTTTTTTTTGTATTTGGGAACTCATCCATAAAAAGGAAATCTCAGAAAATGTACTTGTCACAGCATATAAAGCATTTTTCTAATTATGTTTGAGTTTTCTTCTAAAAAAAATAAAATAATAGTAGTGATTTTATAGAACCTCAGACCTTTTTTTATTTTATTTCATAATTTATCAAATTAAAGTACTCATTCCTTAACTCCTGGTATCCCTGAATCAAGCTGGCAGTTCTCCACAGGGTTAGCACTCAGCTGTTCTTGCCCCTGCTGATGTGGCAGAAAGGGGGGTTGGTAGCAGTTAAAGATATTTCCTTTTGAAAGCCAAGTTGCAAGCTCTAAAGACCCACCAGGCTGGTTTTGTTTGAAAAGGCCAAATGGCTAGAGACTGATGGCTCTCATGGAAATGCAAAAGAGTAACTAATTCACAGACTTATCCAAAACCCCTCTTCTGAAGTTGAGGGTTTACAACCCTGCAGTTCCTGGAAACCATTTGTTCTTTGAAAGATCTGATTTTTCTGAACACCACCTTGGTAAATTCCAAAGGAGACGTGTAATCGCTCAACAGGACCTCCCTTTCTTACCTAAACAAAGGTATAAGACCCCACTTCCGTTCTGCAGGGCTCGATTTGGATGCATTAGCTCCTCGAACCTGCGGGGCCAGCCAGCATAATAAAGTGCCACTTCTTATAATAGTCTTGGTGTCATCATCTCTCTTGTCTTCCCACTACACTGCCTCCTGGTTCACTGTCTTAAGTGAGTATCCTTCAGGACATGGAGCAATACTTTTGTAAAAACAGTGAAATGCATGAATCAGAACTGATTTACCTAAAAGTTCCAGCTTGAAAAAAACTAGAGGACCATAGTTTTATATAGTTGGTTATCAGAGCTGTGTCCATCACCCCAGTTATACTCCCAACACAGATCCCGTGCAACCTATTTTTCTTCTCTGTGGAATGATCTTCTTGCAAACATATGAAAATCTTGCTTTCTTCCAGACTTCAGGACTCAGTCTTACAGAGACTATAGGAAAACTTTCCCTTTGCCTTCTGAACTTTCACTCACAAATCAATGAAAAAGAAGCAGATTAATAAGAGAGAAGGCATACAAAGTAACATGCATGGAAGAGAACCACAGAGCATTAATCATCTAACCCATGTTTTAGTTCATAGTTTGGATGACTCCTCCATACATGTGAGCATGTATTAAGTGTGTTACACTTTTCTCTTGTTAATGTTTTATTATAAGAGTGTCAACCATGAACCTTCATGATGGGGGGAAAAAGAGATCACCCCCTTTCTGACCCTGCAATAATATTTTTTGTAAAAGAACAGTAAATTTTTAGAAAAGTGACCAAAGAACTTTGAGTCTCTAGGAACAACGACTAAGGGGAAGACAGATGGCAGATTAAGACTGATTAGCACAACTTGCTATATAGATTCCTTCAGTGCATATCTAGACCCATAAGGATGAAAGCTGTCTTCACTGGTTAACTGTCGTTCTCACTGATAGACAGGGGGGTGGGATTTGTTTTCGTCTTTGTAAATTTATGTCATTTTAAGGCAAATGGAGGCAGAAGAGTTTTTCTGCCTCTGCTGCTTCTAACTTTTCAGATCAACAATCCTCATGCCATACGGGCATACTTTGAGGTGGCAGATTGTAGTCTGCCACACTGTAAAAAGCTCTAACTCAGCTTCCAATTTCAAAGTCCTAATAACTGCAAAAAAAAAAAAACTTAATAAAAACTTAAAAAGACATAAAAGAAAATAAAAACACCCTAGGCCTCGTTTTTATACTTGGAGCACAATGGAGACTAAAAATAAAGCAGAACTTGCTTAAATAAAGACAGATACAGACTCCTATGTTCAATTCCCTTCAGGACCTTGCATTTTATCCAGTACAAATGCCAAATTTCTTACAGCAGCCTATGTGCAAAACAAGAATATACCACCCCAAAATATAAAAGATTGTTGAGCTGAAGACAATTAAAAAGCAGATATGAGAAAGCTCTCTGTCCTCTATTTGCCTATAAGAAGGATATAGATTTTACAAAAACAAAAAGGTATCCTAGCTACCCACCTTTTCACCAAGGAGAAAAAAAGTTAACCACTGACGACAGCTTTCACCCTCATGGGCCTACACCAGAGGAATGTATGCAACAAGCTTTATTAACTAGCCTTTATCTGAATTTTATTTACTTTTCCCCAGGTTACTGCCCCTAGAGATTCAAAGTCCTTTTCCTTTATCTTGCCACTTCTCCAAAAATGTGCTGTTCTTTGTTAAAGACCTTTGTTGAAACACTGAGTTGAATTTTAAAGCCACTACTTCTCTTGGTGTCTTTCATGTTTATGTAAAATATGTTTTAAACTTCTTCTTGGCTTTCTCTTGTTAATCTACCTTTTGTTACATGGGTTTGTTTTAACTAAAAACCTGTATGAGGTATGAGGATGGAAAGAACTATTCTTCCCTATACCTACAAGCCCCTACATGATCTGGCTTCCTTTTGTTTCTCCACCTTCATTTTCTATCACCCCCTGTTCTTTCCATATAGTCACTCTGGCACCTCAGCACTCTTCCTTCTCTTCTTCCTGAAGATATGCACATAGGTTGCTTCCTCACTTGTTTCGGCTCCTTGTTGAAATATTATCTCCTTAGTGAGGTTAGGTCTTTATTAGTTGCCTTATCTAAATTTTAGCTCCTCATGACATTCCTGATTCTAGCTTTGTTTTTCCATTTCTCACCATCTAACATATTACATATGTTATTTACTTATCTAGCTTATTTTCTGTCCATACTTATCTAGTTTATTTTCTGTCTATCCCAGAATCAAATGTTAATTCCATGAGAGTGAGAATTTTGTCTGTTTTGTGCTTTAGGAATATTTCCAATGCTTAGGCCAGCACTCGACACATTGTAGTCTCTCAACAAGTTCATTTGGAGTTAATTTTAAAATTCATCAATGTTAAAGAAATACTATTTAATCTAAGAGTAATAATGGCATCATAATTGGGTTTTAAAATGGCAGATACAAATCAAAATACTAAAGCAAAATATTATTTGTATTGCAAAAACTAAGGCAGTGGGATGAAGTAGTATAGATAAAACATGAAACTGGATGAGAGGCACATAGGCTTAATTAAACTATTCTTTTGTTTTCCATATATTCTGAAATGTCACATAGTTTTAAAATGTTTTAAAAATAAAACAGTATTTTCTTAAAGTGATAAACTGCTAAATAAGTAAATAAAGGTTATGAAGAAGGATCAACTGGATTCTCAAACAGGACTTGGTGCTAATCTGCACAGAAAAAGTCCCATATAAAGACAAAAAAGTATTTTGGTTGTCTGCCAGGAGGCCCAGGATAGTGCTGCTCCTCTTTGCAGCATCAGTACAAACTCAATACTGCCAGTCTTTGAAAGCAGCTTAATATTTCAGCATAGAACTCGCATTAGCCTTGCCCTCAGAAATTGTTATAAAAGTCAGGTGTTATTTACTCATTGCACCGAGATCAACAGTCATCAAGTAAGCTTCCTCTCTGGAAGAACAAAATATTCTCTCTGAAGACAAACTACAAGGAAAACATGGTTCAATTAGATAGCTGTGCTAAACCTAGAATCAAACAGGAGCTAATCAGAGTATTGGAATTTTGGTACCAATGAGTCTTCACCCCAGCTATCTACTGGAATCACCTGTGTTTTAATAATTACTATTGCCTTGGCCCATCATACACAAGCTCCAATTTAATTAGTCCTGATTGAACCCCAGGCAGATATTTTTATAAAATTTCCCTATGTGACTGTAATGTCACATTGAGACCACTGATCTATAATATGATCAGTTTAAGGGGTTTATTATGTGCACTTGCTTTATAGGTCATTTCATGCTATTGCATAAATATGTAGTTTGCAAAAACTCAAAAACTTGCTCCCAGTAACATTTCACCAGCAGGTTGCTTTTATTGAGATCCAAAACACCACTCAACGATATAGGCTACTTAAAGCAGTGTTCAGAATCACCTGAGGTAAACTGAATACAAAAGGGATGAGGCTACCACGCCTGGCTAATTTTCGGATATATTGTAGAAACAGGTCTCACCAAATTGCTCAGGTTGGTCTTGAACTCCTGAAGTCAGGCAATCCTCTCGCCTCCGCCTCCCAAAGTACTGGGATTACAGGCTTAAGCCACAGCGACCGGCCTTCTTTTAAACCCTGTCTAAAGATTCTGCACTTCTAACACAACCTCAGGTAACACATATGCTGCCAGTGGACAAATCAGAGTGGCAAAAGTGTAGAAGCAATCAATCTAATCTGCTTTGGGTTGTGCCAATAAACTTAGAATTCCTAATGTAGTGGGTGTAATTTTTTATATAGAATCAGCTATCAGCAAAATGCTCCACCAAAAAAAAAGTTTGCTCTATTTTTTTTCATTGATGGGATTGAGCAAGTTAACTTTTAACAAACACGAGAAAACAACCCATCATGCCTAAACCTGTGAAGACAGGTTTAGAAGGGATGAACTGCAAGTGCACTTACTTTGTTGATCCCAGTACCTTTGTAGAAAAAAAACCTTTATAATCTATGTAGTCAGTTAACCAAAAACCTTACACTTGACTACTGCCTCTTTCAAGCCACCTATACAACAATTTGCTATGGCCCATCACCTTAAGTCCAAGCATCCCGCAAAATACTAAACCCCAGCCCAGGAAGAAAAAGTAACACGCTTACAACCGGCAACTCAGCACTACCAGAAGACTAGTTGTAAAATAAAAACAGTAAAACCTGCCTAACCTCATTCTAATGTCCCAAACGCCACTAACCAGAAGCCACAGCTTTTTTCGGGTAAAGGTGGGTGGCTCTTAAAAGAGCCTTTGAGCTGGGAGGAATCTGAGAAAGCCTTACGCTCTCTCCCCACGAATGCGGCGGGCCAGCTGGATGTCCTTGGGCATGATAGTGACACGTTTGGCGTGGATGGCACACAGGTTGGTGTCCTCGAAGAGTCCCACCAGGTAGGCCTCGCACGCCTCCTGCAACGCCATCACAGCCGAACTCTGAAAGCGCAGGTCGGTCTTGAAGTCCTGTGCGATTTCCCTCACCAAGCGCTGAAACGGCAACTTACGGATCAGCAGCTCGGTAGACTTCTGGTAGCGGCGGATCTCGCGCAGAGCCACAGTGCCGGGGCGGTAGCGGTGGGGCTTCTTCACGCCGCCGGTGGCCGGAGCGCTTTTACGAGCCGCCTTGGTGGCCAGCTGCTTGCGCGGCGCCTTCCCGCCGGTGGACTTGCGAGCTGTCTGCTTAGTGCGAGCCATACTGAGGCAGAAAGACGCAAAACGTAAACTTGACTTTAAAAAACCCCAAGACGTGACCCTTATATATACACTTAGGAACATTCTGATTGGCCTGTTGATTTTCAAAAGCCCCGCGCAATAAAATTATTGGCTAAAAAGTCCAATGAGGTGATTGGCTAGCGGTGAACTATTAGAGAATCTGATTGGGCGAATCACTTCATTTTCGAATTCTGTTATAGACTGCGGTCAAAGAGTTTTCTAAAATGATAATCCCGCGCTTCTCCAACTGTGTATCCATAGCGAACCACTCTAAAATCTTAAAATTTGCTAATTCTTATTCAACAGATGACTTGCGAGCCTAGAGAGCCCTAGGATCACGTTTTGAGACATTCCCTTGTACTTTGTTTTCTTTTCTCGAGTCACCTAAGCTGCCATTGCCTGACTCCCCACTCTGTAACTTTTGATTTGGCTGGCTTCCTGGGTGGGATACCTAAAAAATAACGGGTAAAGTGCCTGGCCGAGGCGACAGGTAAACAGTATGCAAGAAGTGTTAATGGACGTCTATCATGTTGTCCCAAATGTTTTCCTTCGGTTCAGATATTTCAAAAGCCCAGGCTGCTTCCTCGATGTTCTAACAATCCTGTCGTTTGTCTTCATTTCGTCCTAATCATGACATTCTAGGGTTGCTGCCTCCACTAGCCTCTTCAACAGGGCAACTGGAACATTGGAGTGTCCCTGTACCTCTAAACACTACAAGGTTTTGCAAGTCTTACCGGAAATCCCTTCCTCCTAACTATAAAGCCCTTACAACAGAGATAGTAAACATTTTTCTCGTTGTTTGCCTAGACCACATCCCAACAGTAGTGTCACAGGACACCTAAGTTGCAATCAACTTAGTCACTTGTACAGTAAGGATCAAGGACACGTATTTTTTAAGATTGATAGATGCTATGACCATAGTTCTTACAATGAATCTGTTACGTGCTTTTCTGTGTGAAAATACAGAGGCAGTGAAAAGAGCCTTTGAAGCAAGGAAAAACTACACTCACTGATGTTTTGGTTACAGCACTTGCCCTTGGCCTTGTGGTCAACTCCGTGGTCTTCTTAGGCAACAACACGGCCTGGATGTTGGGGAGGACGCCACCCTGTGCCATGGTGACTTTACCCAGCAGCTTGTTGAGCTCCTCGTCGTTGCGGATGGCCAACTGCCGGTACCAGGGGATGATACCAATCTTCTTATTGTCGCGAGCAGCGTTGCCTGCCAGCTCTAGAATCTCTGCAATTACTCCCAACTTCGCCACCACGTACACTGGTGCGCCAGTGCCGACCCACTCGGAATAGTTCCCCTTGCGGAGAAAGCGGTGGACTCGGCTGACGAACCAACGCGAGAGAAGCAAGCTTTTGCCTTAGCGCAAGCCTTAGCGCAAGCCTTACCTCCCTGCTCTCTGCGTACTGACATAGGTGTTGAAACGATTGCCTAAAAGAAGCTCAGAGCTTCCGGTAAAGCGCAAGCAGATAGTTTTACTCTGCAGTAGCTTGGTAAAATAGTCTGTGCCGTTGCCTGAACACAAACTTTAGCCAATCAAAAAGCAGATGTTTAAAAAAATAAGACCACTTCTCGTTTTAGAACGTGATTATAGGTGAAAGGTCAAATTATTTAAGGTTGAGCTTCTGGAAGAACCAATGAGATTTAGGAATTAAGAAATGGCCTATCAGGTATTTAGATACTAAGCGATCCAATCAAAAACCGTAACTCAGCAATCCTAATTTGCATACGGAGCAAGCATATAATAAGGGCGTCCTTGTTCTCCAGAATCCTGCCTGTCGACTTTTGAGGTGATACCTCGGCTTTAAACATGCCTGAGCCAGCTAAATCTGCTCCTGCCCCGAAGAAGGGCTCCAAGAAAGCAGTAACAAAGGCACAGAAGAAGGACGGAAAGAAGCGCAAGCGCAGCCGCAAGGAAAGCTACTCCGTGTACGTGTACAAGGTGTTGAAACAGGTCCACCCCGACACCGGCATCTCGTCTAAAGCCATGGGTATCATGAACTCTTTCGTCAACGACATCTTCGAGCGCATCGCGGGGGAGGCGTCGCGTCTAGCGCATTACAACAAGCGCTCGACCATTACGTCCAGGGAGATCCAGACGGCCGTGCGCTTGCTGCTGCCCGGAGAGCTGGCCAAGCACGCAGTGTCCGAGGGCACTAAGGCTGTCACCAAGTATACCAGTTCTAAGTAAATTCGTTATCTGTCAGAACAACCCAAAGGCTCTTTTAAGAGCCACCCACTTCCTTTCTTAAAGATCTGTAATTCTTCAGGCATGCAGAGCAAAATAGCTAGGGAGATTATATGAGATGAAGCTTCGCTAGACTATCGAAACAGTTTTTCTTTTTTCTCTAGTTTGCGGAGATTAACAAGGAGTAAATGTGTATGCGCTTTAATAGTGGCCCTTAGTCTCTGATCTATAGCCACCCCCCTTCCCTTTTGTTTTTAGTTTCATTTTCTCCTAACCCTACTACACTTGATCGGAAGTAACTGGAAGTCTAGAGTTGGGTGATCCTGAGTCGAAACAAAAAAGGGCAGGTGGAGGAAGGGAGTAAAATCAGATTTAAGAAGGGATACAGAAAATGAAATTCTATCATTTTGTAATATGCTATTACCCTGTGAATGGATAGAGCTTATCCCAATGAGGGAGCATCAACACCTCTGCTGGTTGCATTTCTAAACCACAACAGATCTCTACCAGACATTCTTGTCTCCGTTGTTGCACGCCCAGTAACGTCTGCACGTTTATTCACTGAGTTTGTCGTCCTTGGGTTATTTCACGTCGTTATATATATTAACTCTTGGCAAGATCAGGAACTTGTAAACGTGGCTGAACATGAGGTTCAAGAGACAACAGGCAACAGAACAGCATGAGGGGAAAGGAAAGAAGTTTCCTGGACTGTTTTATTCTTTAGCCATGATTCCTGGTGGGTGAGAAGACAGGGACTTGTTTTGTTGTTTGTTTGGGTTTGTTTTTGATCTGTAACTCTCCGAGCACTGGAGTTTTTCCTAAGCGTCCTCCATGTCCTGGATCGACCTTGTCCACAGCTACTTCGTTTCCTGAAATTTCATTTTTAGAGAACAGGGTTACAAGGAATTAACATCTGTGTAGTAATTCTTAGCATGCCTACTGTCTGATTTTATCCTACAATCATATCTTATGAAATAGGATCTCCTGTTTTACAGGTGAATGACCTGAGAAATTTGTTATACTTACACAAATATAAATAAAATTGGAAACTGAATCCCATCCATCACATTCAAAAGACTATTTTCCGCACTATTTGTTAGAGACTATCCTAAGCAGAAGGCTAACTGCATTTGTAGCAGTAGGGAAATTTAGGCTCAACTGGAATAAAAGTAAAATCTGTCAGGAGATACACATATTCTTTCTTGCACAGTAAAATTTTTTTTAGAAAGAAAAGAATATGATAGTGACTGTGGGGCCCTAAAGATCACTTCTGAGCACTGTGTTTTGAAGGGAAACCCATGGGTATTGGCAGTGTAAACCTGAGCCCAAAAATCTATTAGCTCTATGTCTTAATCTTCAAATGTCTACATAGCAGATTACTGTGAATATTTGTAATGGGTCACTTGTGGAAAAAAAGAAAATCTAAGCTCCATATATAATTAATTTTTGCTCTTCAAAGTGAGTTTTAAATACATTTTGAAACAATGTATTTATGGAAATATTTCAAGCACGGTTTAAGGGGGAAATCTCTCCAGACAGGATACAGTCCTGATTGCCTGTTTTAATTCTGTGTTTGGGCAATTTATTTAATTCTTCTATAAACCTCTAAATGGGAATCATAAGCAGTAACTAAAGCACTTAGGACACTGGCTGCAAAGAGGTTGCTTCCCAAAATATTAGCTGTGGCGAAAGCCTCTGGCTGAAGCTGTAGGGAAGGTGCCTTGGTCCTGCCCAAATTGCAACACCAGAGTCCTGAGGCCTTGAATAATGCAATAAGCTGCCAAACTTACTAGCTTTTTATGCCAATTAGACTTCTTTCTCTGACAGTGTAAACAAGACTCTGAAGGGTCCAATCACCTGTTTAGAACCATCTCTTTTCTCTGAAGTGTCTTGAGGACATCCTACTGTCTTACCTATAAGATTTCCCTGTCTTTGCTAACCAATTCAAGCAACATGTGTCATATTTTCCAGGGATTACCCCACACCCTCATTAGAACAAGGGATGCCTCATTTAACCTCTAGATGTGTTGGGTTCTCAGAAAGAAAACCTAAAAACTCACATAAGAACTGGCTATTAGCTTTTTTTTTCCTCCATGCTTCCTATTTCCTTTGCTAAATCTACTACATTTATTTTCCCTCCATTTATTTATAAGGTTTCCATCATATACTTCCAAAGCAGATCCTTTTTTTTTTAGATAAACATAATCTACACCTTGATAAATGTCTGTTACATTGGAACATAAAGCCTGTCAATGGTGACTAGCACCTATAATCCCAGCACTTAGGGAGGCCAAGGTGAAAGGATCATTTGAGGCCAGGAGTTCGAGACCAACCTGGACAAAAAAGCAAAATCTCAACTCTACAAAAAAAATTTTTAAAAATTAACAGGGCATTGTGGCACACGCCTGTAGTCTCAACTACTCCAGTGGAGAAGAAAGGATTGCCTGAGTCCATGAGGTGGAGGCTGCAGTGAGCTGTGAAGTTGCCTGGGTACCAGAGTGAGATTCCAACTCAAAAAAAAAAAAAACTGGAACATAGGAGACTGCCTCACTAATAAGGGGCCACACTGTTCTAAATCCATTCTATCTCTGAGACATTGGTCATTTCAAAGGAAATTGGTGTACATTCCTGTACCTAAGAATACCACCTCGCCAGGCTCAGTGACTCAGCACTTTGGGAGACAGTGGTGAGAGGACTGACTGAGTCCAGGGGTTAGAGATCAGCCTGGGCAACTTGGCGAGACTTCACCTCTACAGTAAATCAGAAAATTAGCCGGGTGTGGGGGTGCGCACCTATAGTTCCAGCTACTTGGAAAACTGAGGCAAAAGGATCCCCTGAGCCCAGCAGGCCAAGTCTGCGGTGGCCATGAGTGTGCCAGCCTAGGGAACAGAGTGAGACTCCAACTCAACTCAACGCAAAAAAAAAAAAAAAGGAACACCACCTCACCCCAAAATTGAGGTAACATCTTCCCTAAGCTCTGATTCAAGTACCTGCTGCTGTTGTATTTCTTATTCCTATAGTAAATAACTCCTGGAAAAAAAAATAAAAAGAGTTACTATACTATCTTCCATCTACCCTCAGCAGTATATACACTGAGGTTCAGAACATACTCCCCCAAAACATGGTACCTTAACATATTGAATACTTTAAGGTGATGAAATTTGAGAAACAGCAAGGGCAGGAAAGTCTCTCTGATCTTTCCCCACCCTTCTCCCCTGAAGCAGGTCATAAGATCCTAAGCCCCTTGCTAGATTTCTCTTTATTACCTTTAGTTCCATAATGTAATACTTACATTAAATAAATATGTGAGATTTTTCTCTTGTTTATCTCTCTTTTATTATCCAGTCAATGAACCTAAGATGTGGACAAAAAAAGATAAACTTTTCCCTTATACGCTAGTTGTGGGTGTGCATCAGTGTTCTGTGTTTGTCTTTCTAGGGTAGAGAAGCAGGCATAGCATTGAAAAGACCCAGAGAAAAATGATTCCAGAATGAAAATGTTGAGAAGTGTATTGGTTTGCTTAGGGATGCAATAACAAAGTACCACAGATTGAGTGGTTTAAACAAATTATTGTTCTTATAATACTAGAGGCTGGAAGTCCAAGATCAACCCTGTGAGTAGGGTTGATTTCTTTGGATTTCTTTGGAGTTTCTTTCCTCTGGCTTGCGGATGACTGTCTTCCCCCTGTGTCTTCACCAAGACTTTCCTCTGTGCCTGTGTCAGAAAAAATTTTTGATAAAATCCTCTGTGCCTGTGTCTGTATCCTAATCTACTCTTTTTATAAGAATACCAGTCAGATTAGATTAGGACCCACCCAAATAGCCACATTTTACATCTTTAAAGATTCTACATCCCTTTGAAGAACTAGAACTATAAAAATAAAAGACCCTATGCCAAAGAAAGTCACATTTTCAGGTACTGAATGTTGAACGTCAACATATGAATCTGAGTAGGCAGGGGAACAATTCAGTCCATACCAAGAGGTATTGTGATTAGGCATCTAAATACTAAATGAACTAAGTATTCTACAGGCATCTCAAACTCAAAAAGACTGCCACTGTATACTCTCCCCAGTAAGAAGGGGACAAAGGTTGAAAAACTATCTATTGGATACCATGTTCACTATTTGACAGACAAGTTCAATACAAGCCCAAACCTCACCATCAGGCAATATACCCATGTAACAAATCTGCACATGTATTGTAGCGGGAAGACAGAGAGATTATGACACTGAGACTATTATACGAAGTGGCAACTTTATTACACCAGCAGGCCTGAAGGTGAATGTGTCTAAATCGAGCCTCGCAGAAGGGGAGAAACGGGGTCTTATATCCTTGTTTAGGTAAGGGATGGGGTCATGTTGAGTGATCACATATTCCTTTGGAATCTTACAAGGTTGTACTCAGCAAAATCAGATTTTTCAAAGAACAAATGCTCTCCAGGAACTGCAGGGTTATAAAACGTCAGCTTCAGAAGAGGGGTTTTGGATAAGTCTGTGAATTAGTTACTCTTTTGCATTTCCATAAGAGCCATCAGTCTCTGGCCATTTGGTCCTTTTCAAACAAAACTGTCCTGGCACCTGGCTGGTCTTTAAAGCTTGCAACTTGGCTTTCAAAAGGAAATACCTTTTACTGCTACCAACCCCCCTTTCTGCCACAGGGTTAGTGGGAGACAGTCTGTCATCCCAGATGATTGCCATGGGGTCAACTGCTGACTCCAAAGCAGCTACTCATGTGTTTCTGCGTTCATTCACTCAATCATACAGGAAATATATTTCAGCATTTGCCACATTCTGCCACATTCTCCCCTTGATGCTTGATCTTTTATGAATCTAAAGCATCATCATCCTAAATTTGGTGCATCAACATTATATGGGCCACAGTTTTTTGTTCAACAACTGTTTCTACAAACTTAGAAATGGCGTTCATAATTATTGGGGCTATGCAAGAGAGGATAAGACAGGATCCCACCAATAGGATTATAGATTCAATAATATACTTAAATTCTTCCAGACCCAAGAGCATGTTTTTAAACCAATTGCCGATTTTTATGCCTTGCCATCTTTGCACCAGGACATGGGCAAGTCTTCTAACATCGGTGACTATATCAGTTATAACTTTACCATTATTATCTATTTGCAAACAACAGTCAGAGCTATTAAATATACCACATACTTTTTTCTTTTTCCACTAGCAGGTAGTTCAAAATTAAATGGTTTTGATAAATAGCTGCACTTATTTGGGCTTGTTGTTGAGCAGCAAGCTCAAAAGCCATGGCTGTTTGATTAGTTATAATTTCTAAGACAGTTTGTAACCTGATAATGCGATTTAGCATATATATATATATATATGGGCATGCAGCATTTCCAACTCCTATCTTGTGTGCCCATGTGGCTGGATCATAAGTATTTATAATTCTCTGGGGCGGCCATTCGTCATTTTTTCCAAACCTGGGTCCCTTCTATATTAGGAACTTGGTCAAGGGATCGAGCATCTTGTGTTTTGAGGCCTTCATAAAGGGGAATGCCTAGTTCATCCCCCCTTGGGTTAGGCAGGAGGAAAAACCCTGGCTGGATTATTCCTATGGTACATGTGCCATTCCATAATGCTGGGGGCTGGGCACATTCAACCTTTTTAAATGTCCAGAATAGTCCTTTAGTACACTGAGAAAATTTAGTTGCATAAGCAGATGCCCAATACCAAACAGGCCTTGTTGGTCACCAGAACTGTGGCAGGATGCAGCAAATGCTCAAATATATTTCTTGTATGATTGAGTGAATAAACACAGACACATGTGGCTGATTCGGTATCAGCAGTTGGCCTCACCTGGGCTGCCACTAGTCCAGCAGCAAGAAGGAAAGGTTGATAGCAGTTAAAGGTATTTCCTTTTGAAAGGCAAGTTGCAACTTTAAAGACCCACCAGGTCCCTGGGCAGGTTTTGTTTAAGAAAGGTCAAATGGCCCAAAGACTGGCTATTTCATAGAAATGGAAAAGAGTCTTATCTAAAACCCCCCTTCTGAAGTTGACAGTTTACAAGCCTGCAGTTCCTGGAAACCATTTGTTCTTTGAGAAATCTGATTTTGCTGAGTACAACCTTGTAAGATTCCAAAGGAAATATGTAACCACTCAACACGACCCCCCTCCCTTACCTAAACGAGGGTATAAGACCCCACGTCTCCTGTTCTGGGGTGCTCGAGCTTGATTTGGATGCATGAAATTCTCGGGCCCGCTGTGCTGTGCTAACCAGCATAATAAGGTGCCACTTCCTATAATAGTCTCGGTGTCACGATCTCTCTATTTTTTCTGCTACAGAATAAACTCCTGGCTGGGATGAATAACGATGGAAAACTCTTACATCTGGCCAGATAGTTTCTATATACGTACATGCTAGGTGTGTGTGGGAAGCGATAAACACCCAATTTAGGCAGAAATACATAAAAGCACAAGAACACTTGCTATTATAAGAAAGAATGGAAATGCTAGTGAAACCCTTTTCTAACATACTCAATGGGGGACAACTCTGTTAATTTTACAGCAAATAAAGTTAGTTCTACAGCAATTAAAATGACAGTTTAGGTTGACAAAGCAAAACAATGGTTTATCAGTAATGTCCCCTGAGTTCTTAAGCTGAATCCTCAATCTTCTGCCATGTATTGTAGAGACCCGCCAGGCACCAGGACAGTTTTGTTTGAAAAAGGCCAAATGGCTAAAGACTGATGGCTCTCAAGGAAAAGAGTAACTAATTCACTGACTTATCCAAAACCCCTCTTCTGAAGTTGATGGTTTATAACCCTGCAGTTCCTGGAGAGCGTTTGTTCTTTGAAAAATCTGATTTTGCTGAGTACAACCTTGTAAGATTCCAAAGGAAATATGTAATCACTCAACACAATCCCCTCCCTTACCTAAACAAGGGTATAAGACCCCACTTCTCCCATTCTGCAGGGCTCGATTTAGACGCATTAGCCCTTGAGCCTGCCAGCATAATAAAGTTGCCACTTCCTATAATAGTCTCGGTTTCACAATCTCTCTGTCTTCTCGCTACAGTTAGATTGTGTTTTCAAGATAGAACTGATAGGACTTACTCATAGAATGGATGTAGAGTATGAAAGAAAATCAGAGACAAAAATAACCCCAACTAAAAGGGTTAAAAATATCATTCACCAATTTCTAAATGATAAGAAAAGCTAAATTTGCAGACATAATATCAGAAATTATGTTTGAAGCTTATTTAAGTCAGAAGCACACATTAATTGGACTTTCACATAGAGATGTCTAGTAGGTAGCATAGTCTTGGAGTTTGGAGTTTAAGAAATGGTAATTTAATTTCCACATCATCAACATATAGGACTATATCTCCACAGCAACAGGAAAACATAAGCTCAACACAATTAGACAGTGATTTTCATTCTCAAGATCTGTCTTTATGCAAGCAGGAGCCGCTAAGCTAAGAAAAAAAAAGGAAGCCAGATATAGGGCTCTAAAGCTGAATTCCACAGATAGGCTTCAGGAAGCCTGAGAACTCCTAGAATTACACACAAAATAACTGGAGAGAATGGGTGCATTTTGGCAACAGTGTGAACTGCTATTACTGGATCCCCAAAGTGATTTCCCCATGGCTCTAACATTAATAGATTATTTTGTAATGGGAAGACAGAGAGGTAGTGACACCAAGACTATTATAGGAGGTGGCAATTTTATTTACGCCGGCGGACTTGGCGGGCTAACACTCCCAGGCCGAGCCCCCCAGAAAGGGAGAAGAGGGGTCTTATACCTTCATTTAGATATGGGAGGGGGGTCTTATTGAGTGATTACACATTTTCTTTGGAATTGTGTTGTACTCAGCAAAATCAGATCTTTCAAAGAACAAACGGTCTCCAGGAAATGCATGGTAAGCAGGGTTGTAAACTGTCAACTTCCAAAGAGGGGTTTTGGATAAGTCTGTGAATTAGTTACTCTTCTGCATTCCCATGAAAGCCTTCAGTCCTTGGCTATTTGGTTTTTCACAAATAAAACTGGTCTGGTGGGTTTTCAGAGCTTGCTGATTGATTTTCAAAAGGAATACTTTTAACTGCTACCAGCCCCCTCTCTGCCACAATTTGAGTATGAATTCCAATTGCATATTTTTGTTACTAAATGTATTTTTCCACATCTGTAAAATATGGATAATATTTATTCTGTTTGTTCTGGGAATTTCAGGAGAAAGGGAAATTTATTGGAGAAAGTACTTGTAAAACTGTAATTAGAAAACCACATGTCTTGAACACGGACCCAGCATTCCTTATTTCTCTGACCTACAGCTCAGTCCTTGCACTGCTTCTGTTCATTTCCAGTCCTCTTCTCATCTTGTAGATTTTTTACACATATGGCAGTTATACGATGACAACTCTCAATTATGTTCCCAGTCTGGACCTCTTGCCTAAACTTCAGACTTTGACTTATCTATCCAACTGCCTGTTTCCTATCTTCCTCTTAGATATGTAACAGGCATCTCACTCTGCATGTCCACAACTAAGATGTGGAATTGTCTTCAAAACTCGTTTCTTCCATATTCTTTCCCATGTTAACAACTGATATCGCCATTCTAGTTGTCCTGGCTAAAATCATTAGACTCACCCATAATTTTCTCTTTCTCTCATACTCTACATTCCTAAGCTCAGAAAAGGGCTATCAATCCATCTTTCAAAAAATGTATACACAAAATCCAACTGATTTTCACAGCTCTCACCAACACACTGCTCCAAGCCACTGTCATCTCTCAACTGCATTATCGTAGTAGCCTCTTACCTTGTCTCTCAGTCCTACCCTGGCCCCATTATAGTCTGTTTTCCATCAAGTATCCAGATGACTCGTTTAAAAATATAAATCAGATCATGTTAGTCCTCTGCTCAAAACCCTACAGTGGGGTTGGCATGGTGGCTCATACTTGTAATCCCAGCACTTTCGGAAGTTGAAGTGTAAAGATTGCTTGAGCCCAGGAGTTCGAGAGCAGCCTGGGCAACAAAACCAAACCTTGTCTCCACAGAAAATAGATAAATTAGCCAGGCGTGGTGACACATGCCTCTAGTCCCAGTTACTAGTAAGACTGAGGCAGTAGGAGTGCTTGAGCCCAGGAGGTTGAGGCTGCAGTAAACTGTGATTGTGCCACTGTATTCCAGCCTACAGTGGCTCTCACCTTACATTGCACTACAAGGCCATATAGGAACTACTTACCTCCATTTGCCTCTCAAAACTTATCTCCTCAACCTCCACACCCACTCCACCCCTTTGTTCAGTCACAGTACCTCCTTGCTGCCTCCAGGCTTTCCTAGTTGGTCTTCTATTTCCCTTCTTACTCCTTTCTTTCCAATTATTTTCATAGCACTTAGCACCATCTGAGAAACACTGCTTTACTTAGTTTGTGTGTGCACCCACACCAAATAAATATAAACTCCATGAATATAAGAATTTGGTTTGGTCACTGTCATTCACTGCTGTAATTCCCAAAGCATAGGACAGTGCCTGGCACATACTATGTGCTCATTTTGTTTGTTAAATATCCTGTTTTTATCCTCAAACTACTGTCTTAGCTAACATCTGATTCTTTTCATATTTGTGCAGGAGTCCCTATCTTAAAAAAAGGTAATATTCAAATTTAATCCATTGATTTTTCAGACTCCAAAATATCACCCTAGAGATTAATTGCTAGCCACAACGAGGAAAAGCCTGATTTTACAATGGTATTATAACCCTAGACCAGAGATTGATCTGTCATCTTGAATTCAGATAAACCAGATATCACGTTCCTCTTATGTGGTGCAATAGTATGTACATATAATTTATAAACTGTCTTGATAAGCACATTAACCTGATTTCAACTAAGTCTATGGACGCCACTTCTACTTTACAGGACATAGAGTATGGAAGTCAAGTAAAATGATCCCATCAGGAAACAAAGTCAATACAAAGAATATTCTACAGGTCTGGTCTCCAACAAATCAATAACAAAAAATGGGGTGGAAGAGATGGGGGAAGAAACTGCTTTAGATTAAGAGACTCCAGAGAGAACCAGACATGACTGGATCTTTCACGGAGCAAGTCAGACCTCCAAGACAGTTGGAGCAGAAGCATTAAGTGGGGTGTTTTTAATGTGGACTGAGTATGATCTTAAGAAATGTGGTTTGCATTAGGCATAAAAGATTATGCGGGTGTTTAACTAGTGCACACTTAATAATTTGGGGTTAAATAGCCTGATGCTTTTATGTATACTTAAAAAATAGGGGGGAAAGCTGTCGTCTCTATTACTTTGAAATTTAAGTTTAGACGATGTTTCAGTAGTGTTGTTCATTGAGTAATGTCCTAAAATTTTAGTGGTTTTGTAATCAAGTCTGCTACACCAGTCTATGCCAAATACTTGCCTCCTTGCGTGTTACTCCAGTGCCTTTTGTAGACCAAAGTTTAGTGGTCAGGGCAAAGCGGCAGCCCACACACCGTCTCCAATGAGCCTGCGCTCCCGCCCCGGGGGACGACCCGTTCCGCTCAGGGACTCGCCTTTGTCTCAAGCCCGCCAGAGTAGGCTTTGTTTCCCGCCCTCCCCGCCATCTTGAGCACGGTAAAGTAGGTTCTCCCACGCAGCTTCCCGACTTCTCTACAGTACTAGGTAAAACTTAAAACTCGGTTCTGAACTGTTAAGTACTTAAAACCCCACTGGCAAGTTCGCCATTTTACGAAAAACTTACCAGTTACCGTAAAATCGGGGGGCGGGGAGATCATAGCCCAAGAACCTTGGCACTCAAAGGGCCTTGAAAACATGAGAATCCACTATAACAAAAACAAGACGTTACCTGCAGTTTATCCCCGGATTAGGTACGTTTCAAAACAAGACCGAGAATACGAGAACACGGCAAAAGATGTCTGCTCTTTTACGGGAAAAAGTGGGCGGCCCTGAAAAGGGCCTTTGGTTGAGAAATGGAAATCTTGATTTGTGGAGACTTTAACCACCAAAGCCGTAAAGAGTGCGCCCCTGTCGTTTGAGAGCGTAGACCACGTCCATGGCTGTTACCGTCTTGCGCTTGGCATGTTCTGTGTAAGTGACAGCATCACGAATCACGTTTTCCAGAAAAACCTTCAGAACGCCGCGGGTCTCCTCGTAGATGAGACCGGAGATGCGCTTGACGCCCCCACGCCGAGCAAGGCGCCGGATGGCGGGCTTCGTGATGCCCTGGATGTTATCTCGCAAGACTTTGCGATGGCGCTTAGCACCGCCTTTCCCAAGCCCCTTTCCACCTTTGCCGCGTCCTGACATGGCTACAAACCTGCCTTAGACAAGCTTCCACTATGCAGCGGCTAAGACCGAGGCAACAACCTTATATACACAGTCTTCGGACCTAATTGAAAACTGAGAGCTTGCATACGGGAACTTTCTGCTGGCCCGTTGGCTCCACCCCTTAGAGCCCGGCCCTGGATGACGTCACCAACGACTTTGGGCCTGGCCGACTGGGTGCTCGTTCTGTGGAGGCGTGTCCTCCAGGCCCTGGGTCGCTAAATAGGAAGTTTCGAACTTTTTACAACTAAATCATATTGGAGACATTGTTTCGATGATTATCATTTGTTGCTTGGAATGCTTTAGGAAGACTGCACGGGGGCCTTGGACCAGAACTGCAGCAATATCCGTAGGACGCGTCCGGCGTTGTCCAATGTTTACAAAGTTCTGGCATTTCCGGTGTAAAGCACCTAGAACCGAAACCTCTTGCGAAAAGTTTGGAAAGGGCAAGACTTCACCTCACCATCACCAAGCCTAGAGAAATCTGACTAAAAGAGTTTTCTTAACAAAGGCAAAGACGTGGTTGGTTAGTGCTTCCGTGGTACAATTCTCACCCTCCGCGCTGAAGCTGAGTTTAATTCTTCCTTCTCTGCTTATTAGAATTTGTCATTTTCATTTAAAATCTAGCCACCTGTAGTTCCAGTTACTTGGAAGGCTGAGGCGGAAGGATCTCTGGAGCTCAGCAAGTCGACGCTGGGGTGGCTATGAGTGTGACACTGCACTCCAGAGTGAGACTACAATTCAAAAAAAAAAAAAATCTAGCCACCTCCTCACATCTGCACCCAGTAACTTTTCAATATGTTAAAGTTTACTTCTCCATTCTTTGTTTTCTCTTTCATTCTGGTAGCAGCCTTATTCCAAAAAGAATTGGTATCTGTAGTAGTCAAGGTATTGACATAAATAGGCGAGTTTCTGTAGGGTTTTTTTTAAACGTAAGACTGAGAACAGAGTTAAGAATATTGTTGGGAAGAAACCCTGCGGGCGAGCAGAGTGGCGCAGCGGAAGCGTGCTGGGCCCATAACCCAGAGGTCGATGGATCGAAACCATCCTCTGCTAGGAGCGTTCCCTTTTCCCAAAGCAATTTAGCTTCATGTTTAACAGAAAACAAAATGAAGCCAGGTCGTTCGGAATTAAAATAATTTCTGGGAAATAAACATGAATCTGTACACCATTTCTGGACGAGGAGTGATTATTTTCATGAACTCACATTTATTATTAACAAATTTTTCTGTCTTGAAGCAGATTTATTTTGCTGCCAAAGTGGCCATGCCGCTGTTGCCGGCCATTTATGACAGTTTTTTTTTTTTTCTTTTAAAGATGTGAGGTATAATTCAGGGTTAGGTACATAAGTGGTCATCATACAAGTGAAGTTTGGGCTTCCCATTGGTCGTCACTTCGCCTAGTTTGGGATCAGGTACGCTTATTAATGTTATGTGTCCCCATTCTCCACCACCACCACCCCTCCATTCCCGCAGTGATCCGCTACTGCCAATCCGCCAATCTCTTTCATGCAGCACAGGGTCCACTTATGAATGGGAACATGGTACTCAGTTCTTTGTTTCTGTTACAGATCACTGAGTAGGACAGTCTCAAAACCCATCATTTATGACAGTTCTGTGTTACCTTGTCAAGCAGGGAAAGTGCTGAAATAAGCTGAGTGCCAAGCGTGAAGACAGGGGTGTGCGTCGAGGGATGGCTATGTATTTATTTCAATACATAATTCAAATGGACCTTTTGCCAAGTGGTTAAGGTGATACACTAGAAGCCCTTTAATTCTCACGCAGATTCTTTGCAACTATGAGAGTCTTAATCCTGGGAGTAAATAAATGAGTAGCAGCTTGAGACAGATGTGGAGTCTTGACTGCCCGATTGAACTCTGACGTGAGAAAACTGCTTCTGCAGGCTACTGATGTGTCTTCTCCGTCCTCTACCCTCTAGTCTGTTTTTAAATCTCTAATAGAGCTGTTACCTAATGCTTATTTTTTTTAATATATGTTGACTGTTTTTTATTTGTCTCTCTCAGAAAGTATTCCTATTTAGATATTTATGTATCATATACTGAGAAGCTAAGAAGAAAAAAACACTAAATAGCCTATAGTCTAGACAAGCTTTTTAAAAAACTAGATAGGAATAGTGCAATACAGTATTTCTTTAAAAGAATTATACTCTAAGTGCAGTGGGAATAAGGGAAATGTAAGCCCATGACCATCTGCTGATTCAGTGATTCACTGGAAGTACACACATGACTCAACAGTCACTCTGGATTAGATTTATTATAGTGAATAATACAATGCAGAAAAAGAGATATGCACAGGTGAAGACTACAGAAGTCTTTCTTGTCCCAATTCTTCAGTGATGACACAAAGACTCTTTCCAGTTGTGTGTAAACCGTGTTTGCCTAGCAAAGTTCACTTGAGCATTGGAGTCAAAGTTGTCAAAGGGAGCTGGTCACATGGCTACCATGTGACCAGCCATGGGGTGGACACCTAACCAGATACCAGGTGCACATCATGAATCGTCATATTTACTTTAAGTGTGCTGAAAACCTAGCTCATGGTGATCTGCCGCTTCAGGTTAGTTGAATAACAGTATTACCCAGTAACTATGTGAACATTTCAATATTTTAGTAAGGGTCGTCATTATGGCACTTATCTATAAAGACAGGAAAAAACTAATACATTTGCTGCATCAATTTTGCCCTGGCAATTCTCTAATTCTGGAATGATGGCAGATTTTGAGCCACAACTTGAATGAGTAAGAATTTGCCAGACAGTCAAGAAGACCATTCTATGAAAAAGAAACAAATACAAAGAAAAAGAAGCGTGATACTTAAGGAACTATGAATAATTCAATAAGAGTATGGAGATGCGATCATGCGAGGGAGAGGGATTTGGAAAGAAAAATGACCGTGTCCTGATCACCTCCCATTCACCTATTGATGAAGAAGAAATTCCCCTTCCCTGAACAGTATGAAGGCTGAACACATGACACACAACACTAGATAAATGACATTGGTAGCTATTTATTAAGCACATATACTCACAGCCTGGAAGAAAAGGGCGCTGCTTGCAGTGCAAAATCATGAAAGGGTTGCATTCAGCAGCAGGACAAACTAGTAGAGGCTATGAGAAGCAGACTTCATAGTAATCAGAAGGTGGGGTGACTCATTCCCTTGAAAAATATTGACTTAGCAGTTTTAAGGGCTCACAGGGAGGTGGAACCCATTAGGTTGAAGATTGAGTGGGGTGCAGCTGTTCTAGCTGATAAAGGAACTGGCCAAGTGGGGAGCATTTCCTGCTCATGGGGGCCATATCTGTGGTGACAACAGAACTTGCAGCTAAGCCTTTTGCTGGGCCCTGTAAGGGTCAAAGTTGTCAAGGCAGCACTCGATCTTAGATCTTACAATACAGTCTAGAATTACCACAGAATAAGGAAGGGGCAGGTTACAAGGGTATGAGTTTACAATGAAAACAGATTTACATTTTATTTTTCAATAAGCGATAGGAAATCACTGAACAATTGTAAGCAAAGAATATGATCAAATTATCTCCTTAGGAAAAAAGCTCCTGGAGTTTTCATGTTTGTAGTCTGGTCCTTCATTGGTGTATTTTTCAGCAAGTCATTTCTAAATTGGGTAAAGGAATGTTTGGGACTATATATATTCATCAAAGTCTGATACTGGCCATCTTCATTTGCATGTTTAATACACAACTTGAACTTAAGTTCAAATAGATCTTACACCCCCCCCTTACATACACACACATACACACTCTACCCTTAAAATGTTCCTGAGGTCATTCCCATCTTAGTAAATGCAAACTTTGTTGTTACAGGAAAAAAAAATCTCAGGAATGTATACACCTTTTCTATTTCTCTCACAATCCAATCCAATCAGCAATCCTTCAAAACATATTCAGAATGCAGCCACTTCTCACCGTTTCCACCAACACTATCTATTGATGGTGTAGCCATAATCACGTGTCATCTATATATTGCAATAGCCTTTCAATCAATCTTCCAGACTCCAGAAAGAGAAAGCAACAAGTTCACAGTCTATTTTGTGCAGAATAGAAGAATATTTTTGTTAAATAGTCCCCACATTAAAGATGATTGCAGAGTTCAGAAAATATGGATATGAGAAATTCAGCACATTTTTATTGAGCTCCAACTATTTGCCAGATGTTATTGTATGGCTAGGGAAAGAAAGATTATGTAAAAGTATTCATTTCTGTGCTCCAGAAGCTTGATTTGCCAATCAAGAAAAGCTAAGGCCTATGACAAGCCAGGAGAGACATTGCTCTCTTTGTCTGTGCTTTAGGAAAATTAAAAAAGACCAGGTGCAGTGACTCACGCCTATAATCCCAGCACTTTGGGAGACAGAGATGAGAGGATTACTTGAGCGACAGAGTGAGACTCCAACTCAAAAAAAAAAAAAGAAGAAGAAAATTAAGAAAATGTTTTATTTGTAGAGTACTGACATCTTCAAATGAGACACATGAGGTCACAAAGATCCACTGACAGGCTTGAAAGAAGCCATCCGAAATACAACTTTATATCTTCTTATGAGACCAAGCACTCTACAGTACATTATAAATTCTATAAGTATATTCTCCATGTTATTTTAATGCATTTTGCAAATGTAAAAATTGCTAACAGTCAAAACGTGTGTGTTGGTTTGCTTCTTAACATATGGGAGCCTCAAAAAACAATAATAACCCTGGTCATCTTTATACTCCTGAAAAACCGCCAAAAATATTTTTTTCCCCCAACAGGAATATATCATGAAAAGTGCTCTGATATCACATTATAACAATCGGAGAAAGTACCAGAACATCATAGGGAGAAGAAAACTGTCGTGGGAATCTGCAGATATCCGTATAGGATAGCGAAAAAGACGATCCTGCAGATGTTGCCTGCAGGGGCAGTTTCCTTAACAACTGGCTAGGCAGTCACCCCAAGTACCTAGAGTCTGTAAATGTTGAATGTG